ACTAAAATGGCAAAAACTGATTTTTAAAAATTCTTTTATATTTTATTTTTTAAAAATAAAATAAGCAAAAATATTTATTTATAACTCTCATTCTAATAAAATTATTCTATAACTTGTTATAACAATTTTATTTTAAACATCTTATTTTCCCTCTTTCCATTTCTTTTAGTTTTTCATTATCTTTTTCCTTCTAACATTCACTCCTCCTCCATCTACCTCATTTGGGTTTCTTGGCAAGAACAGATCACAGATCCAATGCTTCACCAGTAATGGTGGTTAATCAATCCAATCTCTTTCTAAAAGTAAACAAATAGAAAACCCATCAAAATGGACAGACACTGAGACACATACAAATTATGCTGAACAGGCTATCATGCACCTCAACCACCATAGCCATATTCACCATTGTCCTCCTCCTCCTCTTCTTCATTCACACCCCTAACACATGTGTTCCACGGCACACTGATCCCAAGCCCACCAGAGGTTGTCCACATCCTCCTGCAATTTCTCACATCTCTCTCTCGCTTCCCTCGATAAGAAGAACCACCGTCTCTAACCCACGAAAGCCTGGCTTAACACAGTCCACTCTTTTGCCGCCCTCTTCCTCGACCTCGGATCCTTCACCCTTCTCACCAACCATTGTGGGGTCCACTATGTCTCCATCAGAGCTGGCCACGAGGTCACAGTGTTGCACCAGATCGGTGTCAAGGTCATCATCGGCGTCAAATTGATGAACTTGACACATTTGGTGAGTCGAGCCAATCCACATAATTTGCCCTTATTTTATGACGTTTAGTACTCATCTTAACTAGGCGATATGGTTTCTGGCAATGGTAACAAAGTGGTTTCTGGTATGACTGTTGGAATTGTGGCTAAAAATTCAACAAGGACTCCTAATCTAGAAGGTCAAAAATGGTGGATGCCAAAATTTGGTCTTAAATGGAAGCACCACCTACCCATTATTTGTTTCACACTTGGAGAGTCATATATTGATTCACCTACCATTGACATTGGAAGGTTTATTTCTTCTATAAAAGGAGAAACATGGTGGGCAATTAAAGACACACATAACACACCAAGAAGAAGAGGTGTATAGAGAGGTCAAAGTGAGAAACTAGTGGGTGTGGGAAAAACTTTTGTTTTAGAGTTTTTACTCTCATTGTATTTGAGAGGACACTTTGTGTGGTAAGAGAGTTCTTGTTTAGAACTTAGTATTTCCTTATAGAGTGATTGGGTACAAAAGGATTGAGGGTTTGTGAGTGACATCTCTTTATAATCCTATATATTATACAATTTACAATCTTTAGAGAAATTTGGCTTTCTAGTGGACATAAGCGTGTTTTGCCGAACCACATATAATTTCTTTGTCTTGTGGATTTTGTGTTTGGAAACTTTATCATCACTCCTTTTATATTTGTGGGTCGTGATCGAGGGGGAGTAGTGATTATTTCCTAACAATTGGTATCAGGGCTATAGGCTTACACAAGTTGTGTTTGATAAAAAATTCTTGATCTAGATTTTTTATCATAACACTGGTGTTGTTTTTCTTGGGCACTTATGACGATCATGGCTGGTAATATTACTTCACAATATAAGGTGGAAAGGTTCGATGGCAAAGGTAGCTTCACTCTTTGGCAAAGTAGAGTGAAGGACATCCTAGTTCAACAAGGCTTGCATCAAGCTTTGGTGGGAAAGGATGGAAAGCCAGAAAGGATGAAAGACTATGAGTAGGAAGATATAGAGTTGCGATGTCTTAGCACTATTCGGCTTTGTATCGGAGATAATATCATTAACAATGTTAATGGTGAGAATTAGGCACCGAAATTGTGGGATAAGCTTGAGAAGCTGTACTTAGCAAAGAGCCACACCACAAAACTCAATCTGAAGCGTGATCTCTATCAGCTAAAGATGGAGGAAGGCGAAAATCTCTTGGATCACATGAATGTATTTCATGGTATCATTGATCAACTTATAAAAGTTGATGTGAAAATTGAAGAAGAAAACAAAGCCCTCTTACTTCTTACCTCACTTCCAGTTTCCTATGAGAACATTGTAACTACCATCTTATATGGAAAGGAAGCATTGAAGATGGAGGATGTTGAGTCTACTCTCTTATCTAATGATAAGAGGAGGGACATTGGTGATAGGAGCCACGACTCAGCCATGGTTGCTCATAGTCAGAATAAGGGAAGGCAGAATACCCACAGATCTAACATAAGTAGGTCTAAATCAACGGGAGGAAAGGGCAAGCAATGTTACAGATGCCATGAATGGGGCCACATCCGAAAAGACTGTCCACTTGTAAAGGGAAAGGAAGATGGTGGCAAGAATGATGCATCTATTACATATGGATCTAACGAAGACTTTAGAGATGCTCTCATAATTTCCAAAGGTAACACTCTTACTCGGCATGACTGCATATTAGATTCGGGTTCTACGAACCATATATGCTCCATGAAAGAATATTTTGATTCATTTCAAAGACTTGAGAATAATTCTTTGAATATGCCCAATGGTGATAAGTGTACCATGATGGGTATGGGAACGGTAAAAATTAAGATGTTTGATGGGGTTGAACGCACATTGGTGAACGTTGCCTACGTACCAAAGTTGCGGTGTAATTTGATATCCTTGAGCCAGTTGGATTCCATAAACTGCAAATGCTCTATTGTAGGGGGAGTCATGAAAGTTACAAAGGGATGCATGGTATTGATGCAAGGAGAAAATAGTGGGGGATTATATCATTTGGTGAGGGGTAACAATGGTACTCAGACTTCGATTGCTGATTGGAAACGGGTATGTGAAAGCAAAATCTTGCGTTAGGTCTCATTGGCAGATACAATAGAAAAGATGACGTGTTTCCAGACAAATGATGATAAGAAAGAAAATCCTGCTTGTGAAGGGGTCTTATCGAGGTCCCCTTTCAGAGTCACTTGATAATTTTAACTTGGTACAGCTGCATATATGCATTGGTCGTGGAATCTTACTTGATTCGGGTTATGAGTAACTGGTATACGGAAGGCCAATGGACTACTTGTGGATTTGCAAGTAAGAGTCTCGGATATTGAGACTTGTGAATTCTAACTAAGGGGGAGATTGTTGGAATTGTGGTTAAAAATTCAACAAGGACTCCTAATCTAGAAGGTCAAAAATGGTGGATGCCAAACTTTGGTCTTAAATGAAAGCACCACCTACCCATTGTTTGTTTCACACTTGGAGAGTCAAATATTGATTCACCTACCATTGACATTGGAAGGTTTACTTCTCCTATAAAAGGTGAAGCATGGAAGGCAATTAAAGGCACACACAACACACCAAGAAGAAAGGTGTGTGGAGAGCTCAAAGTGAGAAACTAGTGGGTGTGGGAAAAACTCTTGTTTTAGAGTTTTTACTCTCATTGTATTTGAGATGACACTTTGTGTGGTGAGAGGGTTCTTGTTTAGAACTTAGTATTTTCTTATAAAGTGATTGGGTACAAAAGGGTTGAGGGTTTGTAAGTGACATCTCTTTGTAATCCTCTATATTGTACGGTTTACAATCTCTAGAGAAATTTGGCTCTCTGATGGACGTAGGTGTGTTTTGTCGAACCACGTATAATTTCTTGTCTTGTGAATTTTGTGTTTGGTTTCTTTATCATCACTCCTTTTATATTTGTGGGTCGTGATCGAGGGGGAGTAGTGATTATTTCCTAACAATGACGACATTGGTAATTCTGCAATTTTTGTTGCCGAGAGAGAGAGAGACAGAAAGATGGAGATGACGTTGCTACAATTTTTAGCGTTGCCTTTGTGTATATCTATATATGGTGTTATGGACTTATATTTATTATTTGATGGAATGAAAGTCTTGTAATTTCAAAAAAATAAAATTGACCAAAATACTGGCTTAGATATGAAAAAACACTGTTCATTTGCCCAAACCATCATCACATAGGTACCACTTCTTGTGCACGTGCGTACCATTTTTTATTATCATGTACCACTTTTTGTCATCAATGACTATTTGTTATGTTGCACAAAAAATGGTACATGCATTCACAAAAAGTGGTACATATGTGTGCAAAAAATGATACAATTATGTCCAAAACAAAAGTGGTACCTGAAAATAGTAAGGATAGTTTGGACAATAAATATTATTTTTTTTTTATGTCCACATCAGCATTTTGGTTAATTTTATTTTTTTTTAAACAACATGACTTTAACTTCATCAAATGATAAATATGGGTACATAACATCATGTATGTGTAATAATCCCTATATATATATCTCTCTCTCTATATATATATATAGAGAGAGAGAGAGAGAGAAAGAAGGAGATGATTTGTTACAATAACTAAGGGCACTTTCGTCTTTTAAGAAATTTAATATTTTTATAAAAATATATTAAATAAGGGATAATGTAAATGACATTTCACACTTTTTTAAGCTAAAAAAATGACATGGGTTCTACATAAAAGTTACAACCAAAATGTTCATATATGTAAGATGTAACCTAATCTGAAAGGATATCAATGTAATTTACCATTAATTTTATTGTAGGATATATCAGAAAAATCATGCCTTTGAATGATTTGGGGAACCTTCTTGGTGTCCTTGTCATGAAATCAATAAATGTGTCATAAAAAAATAATAATAATAAAAAAAAAAACCATATGTCAAAAATAAATTAAGAATTGTATTTGTTAGATAGAATTACGGAAAAATAATAATAATAATAATTTATTAGATAGAATTGAATAGTGAATGAGAGATTATGTACTTTAGTGAAAATTAATTGAGAATTTGAAATGCACAATTTTACATCGCCTGGATGTAGAATTTATAAACTTTTTCAATTGGTATGAATTCTTTTACAGTAAAACTTAAGAGTAAAATTGGGTGAATTCGACCCTAAAATAAATAATGTCATGCCATGTACTGGAATGAGACGTTACGCGCGCGCGCACATATACACGCACGGGAGAGAGAGAGAGAGAGAGAGAGAGAGAGAGAGATTCTGACCGGGAATGTGAAGGTGGAGAGACCGGCAACCGTGCTGGAGACGTGCTGAGCCTGTGGTACTGCTGTGTGAAGCATACACGTGAGTGACTGCCACTGGTTGAGGCTCAAAGAATCTCCTACAAACAAGATGCGTTTTCCTCTTAATCTCATCAACAAATCTCGACCGTCGAACCTACATCAAGAAAAGGCCAGTCAAGATGCTTGTGGGGTCCAGCAGGGATGATTATCGGTGACACCTTAACACACCATACTGAGGACAAGGTGAATAAGAAAATAAATCATAAATTATGTTTGGAAGTTGTGGAGGGAAAATTCAGATTCTTTCTTGTATTTCGTTGTTCAGTGACCACCAAAAACGAATCTTTTCAATACAACATATGCAATACGTATTAAATGGAACAGGAAACAAAAAAACAAAAAAACAAAAAAAATTAATTATTCAATAGTGATTGTCATCCTAAAAATGATGTTATTACTCCTCAACGCAATGCTCGTACATTCAACACACAAATGTAACACTCATTACGTTACATTATAAAATATATGAATAATTGATATTGCAAAAATACAACACTCAAAACAGTGGCTTTAAATTTTTTTATAGTGTTCTAAGTATTTTCAATATAATGATTATTGCTTATATAACATGTTTAATGTGATACGTTGTATGTGCATCAAATGAATATTGTTTTAAACTTGTTTGTTTTCATTTGAACTTTTTTAACTTTTCAAATATAATAATTCTTCATTTCAAAATAGATATTTATCTTAAGAGATCGTTTTTTTCAAAATAAATATCTTTTCATTTTGAGATAGACATTTATTATAGAACAAAACGAATATCCATTTTCTTGCTTTCAAGACAACAATGCAACACTTTGTTTTATATAGGTTATGGTTAGAAGTAGGTGGGCTCTCGTGATGCCATTGTGTGTACTGTGTGTATGCGATTTCCGTCCACAGCCTGTGGAGGTTGATGCAAGATATTTATAAGTGAACCATGTGTATATATATATATATATATATATATATATATGTTTGGGTCAGGGGTGGGTCCTTCAAGCTGTAATAGGAACGTTGAAAGGTCCACATCATGATTTGTAATATATGTGATGATTGGAAGTGACAAAGTATAGTGAGGTCATTTATTTAAATATTAGAAGTGGATTGGTTCACTTTAATATCGGTAAAGTGTTTATACATATAAATATATATATATATATAAACAATAAACAACAAAAATATTTTATTAGAATATTTATATAATAATTGTTAATCACTCATTGTATTTGATTTATTAGTGAAGAATAAAACAAAAATAATAATAATAATTACTGTTTTTCACACTGTCATCTACTATAGTCAATACACATAAGGATGTATGAGGTGGTCTTCGTGCACTTGCCCTATCCACTGTACATGTAATAATTTTTTATTTTATTTTATACATATATATATATAATTTTTTTATATATAATGCCTCCTCTAAAATTATTAATTTCTTAAATTATTTTTTTTATTTTTTAAATTCCTTTAAGAAGTTAATTTTCTTATTATTAAATTAAACTTTAATTGATAAATGTACCATTCCTATAAAGGATTTCATGCCTAGCGCCAATAAGAGTGCACTCATGATAAAATTACTTTATAAATTAGACATAAAACCATAAGATCAATAAGACATCTCATGATTAAGGACAATGAACTTTTAAAAAAAAAATTCCAAAGTGACACCCTAAGAGAAGACTACCTCAAAATTCATTGGTCATTTATATGTGTGCAAGTAGTTAAAATATATCGTTATCTTGACCTTATTTTTTCACTTTTTCAAAAGTATAAGAACTTTTAAATTTTTGTGAGTAACATAATTTTATAGAAAATATTTTTTTTTTTATTTTTGGTGTTCGGTTGTCATAAATATTTTACTAAGAAAAATAATATTAAAATTTAATAAAAATAACTTATTTATCAAGATAAGTTATTTTACATATCCCGTCCGACACCACCAAAGTAAAAATAAAAATAAAAAAATTATTTTACCTGAAAAAAAATATATTAAAAAAAAATATTTTACAAACTGAGCCTAACATTTAAATATTTGTAAGTGACAATGTGAACCTGTGAGCTTTTGCTAGAAAATATATATATATATATATATATATATATATATATATATCCTAATTGTAATACTTTGGTTTCTTTTAAAATTAATTAATTTATCTCTTTGTCAAAAAAAAAATTAAATAAATAAATACATATACAACTATTATATATTCTTATGTCAAATTACCCCACTATCAAACACTTTTACTCTTATTCCAAATCATTTGCTTTACTGGTGGACGGGTTAAATGGAGCGAATGCAAAACACAGTAAAGATGGGTAGAGGTGAAAATAAGAAAGAGTAACGGTAGGTGTACAGTACCTTGGTAAATCGCATCCAGTGGGCTGCCACCTGTATTTGAGGTAGTCTTTGTCTGGTCGACCGTTCCTTTGGCAATCGAACTGCTTCTCTATGAACGGACAGTTTTTTGCGTCGTAGAGAGGATAAGAATCATCAAACACCCATCTCCCTTGGAAAACATCACACCCCAAATTGCTTCCAAATCTACTTATACTATTCAAATACTCTCCATGTGTTTGGTTCATCAGGACACAGACTACTAGCACCATTACAAGTGCAGACCAGCCATTCAAAACACCACCCATAATTTATATATATATATATATATAGATGTACAGACCGAGAGAGTATTACAAGAACTCACATTCAGTTATGTGATTCTGATGTGCAGCAAAAGATGGGTTGAAAATACACATAAATATATATACTATGAGAGAGAGAGAGGGACAGAGGAAGAGCGAATGAGTGTTTTAATTTGGATTCTTGTAATAGTGTCATTTCACATTAAAAATTGAGTGCATTAATGGTAATTAAATACAGAAAATTTATCACCTAAAAAAAAAATTTGAATGGAAAGAAGAAAAGAAAGAATAACTGAGACATCCAAGCGTTTCTCTCTTTTTGCTAGGTTGGATGGAAGAAAATGAAAAAAAATTGATAATTTATTTTGAGGCAAAGTACAAAAAACCCCCTTCGACTTGTAATCTTTTCTAATAAATCCCTATTGTCTAAATTTTTACCAAAGAACCATCCTCCACCTATAACCCTTTTCAATAAATTCCTTTTTTAATTTTTTACCAAAGAACCCCCCTCGATTATGTAAGGATTGTAAAAGAGTTGATATTTAGACCAAAATGTCCTTTTATTTAAATCTTAATTTTTCCGAACTTCACAAAATTCATATCTCACAAACTGTATATCCAAATATTACAAATAATATCTGCACGGAAATCTTATAAAATAAGAATTCCAGAAATATGAGATTTGTTTAACAAAACTTTATAAACAAAGATAAATAGACAATCTAAAAATCTACTGCAACTTGACAGAGGGAGAGAAACAGAGGAAGAGAGAATTAGTGTTTTAATTTGGATTCTTGTGAATTAAATAAGAGTAATAGTGTCATGTCACATTCAAAACAGAGTGCATTAATAGTAATTAAATACAGCAAATTTATCACCTCCCATATATAAATTGTGGTATGTTACATGAACTTTGGTGCTCGGTAGTTAGTAGGAAGCACAAAAGTTGAATGGAATGGAGAGAAAAAAAGAGTGACTGAGACATCCAAAGGTTTCTCACTTGTTGCATGGTTGGATGGAAGAAAATAAAAATATATATAAAAAAAACTGACAATTTAATTTGATCTGTATGATAAAAGAAAATGTAAAATTTTAAGTTATTTTTACCATTAAAATCATCATTTACTTTATTTATTCGATTTATTAAATATTTATCAAGGGTGATATAATAATTTAAAATTTCTATATTAAGTTCACTTATTTTTTCTCATATCTTCTGCCCATATTTTGGCCGGATGAAAATTTGTGAAGAGGATCCTTCCTCTTTTTTTTTTATTTATTTTTTATTTTTTTATCTCTACTTAACATAGCATGAGAGTATTCACGGGAATAGAATAGAATCTTTCCGTAATTAAGCTTGGACAATTTTAATTATTCTCTTCTGATTCTGTATTTGAAATTTAAAATTCTTATTACAAAAAATAGTTCAAAAAATGAATTAAATGTGTAGTCCAAGAAATTATTAGATAGCCCTCTATCATTTGTCAATTGGTAGCCAGTCTAACCAAAATTAAAAAGAAATGAAATGAATATATATAATCGAAAATAAGAAAGAAATGAATTGAATGTGGAGTACAATAAATTATTAAATAGCGGTGGACATTCTTTCACTTGGTCACCTAATCTAATCAAAATTAATATTTAATTTTTAAAATATTAATATGACTTTTTTTTGGAATTAAATTGGTTCAGAAAATAGAAGTGATGGACGACCATCAAATAATTTCTTATAAATTATGATAGACCTAAATCATTTAACTTAAACTGCCAAGGTATTCCTAGAACAAAAATAGCATACCATGTCAACTAATAAAAAGCAATCCAAGGCTCACCAGAAAAAAATAAAAAATAAAAATAAATAAATAAAATATATTTATTTTTTTTAATTTTAAACTTTTTAGGATAAATTCCACCTATACTCCTAGATTTGACAATATTTCATTTACATCCCTTCTAGGTTTCATAATTTCACCTACGTACCTCTCCTGATGTTTTGGTTTATGTAGGAGATTCCTCCCTTCCATTAAGAGGCTAAAGGATTTTGCTAATGTCAACAAGAGAAAATTAAGGGAAGGTCAAATTTTCCCTTGTAATATTTGAAATGACATTTTTGCCCTTGTAATGTTCGAAATGACATCTTTAATCTCATTTACCAATTTACATATTAACAACCATCTATTCTAAAAGTTTAAATTGTTAAGAGGGTGTAACTTAAATATATATATCAAAGAGGGTGTAACTTAAATATATAAATCATTCAACATGCCCCCTAACCTTATGTGTGGCCTTCTTTTCGTCTAACATGTGTTTTTCAATTTTTTAATTAGAGTGATGGTGAGGTTTGAACTCGAAACTTTTGACTCTGATACTATATATGTTAACAACCATCTACTCTAAAAGTTTAAGATAATAGAGAGGGTGTCACTGAAGTGCCTATTTGGGATTGCTTTTCTGCAACTAAAAAGCGTGTTGGTTTTAAAGTCAAAAATCGTAACATTTGGAATTGCGTTTGAGGTAAAGTTAGGTAACTACCTTTTTTTGAGAATATAATCCTTACTTTTCTTTATAAATACAATTTTATTTGTTATTGATGTGCATGACTGTTATTGTTCGCATTATATCTAATAAGCCACACAGAGACTATAGCATGTGTAAAGTGAAAATTTTAAATTATTTTTAAATTGTAACGTGTATTTAAATTAGTTTTATAACATGTAATCATGCAATGTTAACTAACAAACATGCCATGCTATATGAATGAATCACTTACATTAATATCATGCAATATCCTTATTAATGTATGTTTAATATAGTAAATTAATAATAAAAGTACTTAAAAGTACTTTATAAAATGTATTACCAAACACATGACATTATTTTTACTGGCAACAATTTTGTAAAAGCCGTTTCATCATTCTAACTGGGCCCTAGATATTTAAAACCTTCAACAATATAGGCCTCGTTTGGTGGAGCTTCTAGTTTTTAAAATTCCTTCCATTGAATTGGTTTTGGAGAATGTATTTTGATGAAAGGAATTGAAAACAAAAAAGTTGTTTGGTAGATGAATTTTTTGAAGTTCTTTTAATTATCAACATAATTTAACTTGACAATTATACCCTTAATAATTCATGAACAATAGCGTAATACCCCTAATTTAAAAAGGATAGTCTCGGTATTATTTTAATAGGTTTAATTACATTTAGTTATTTAGTTGTTTTCTTGGTTAATTGTTTACTTGTTTAATTGATTTAATTATTTGTTTAAATTGAATTGAATGTGATTTAATTGTTTTATTTTTATTTTTATTTTATTTATTTTATTTTTATATTTTTAAGGAATTGGATATGGATAGTAGTAATTGACCAATCAATTGGGCTCCATGGACTACTTGGATAAGGGGTTTAATGGGTACGGATGATTACCCATGTATATGTATATTTAATAAATAAATAAATATATATATATATGTAAGGAAAGTCCCTTTAATAATAATCTGATATATATTTATATGTTATATATAAAAAGGGGTACACATAAATTATACGTAACATATATTTAGTTACCTTTTTAGTATTTAAATTTTATTTTATTTTATTTTTATTTCATTTTAGTTTGTCTTGGAATGGGAAAAGGATTAGGGTTATTTTAGTTGCCTATAAATATATAACTATAGAGTTGTGAAAGAAGTTAGAAAATATATCACGTACTATATTTTAGAGAGAGAAAGAAGGAAGAGGAAGGAAGAGAAAAAGGAAGAAGGAGGTTAGGGTTTTTATCAAATCCCTAAAGGCAAGTTCTAATTCTTCTCTTCTCCTTTGATTCATACTTTATGCATGCTAGATTAATTCTAGGTTTTTTTTTTTAATAAATTAATTGGAATCTAATTATATGAATTGATTTAGGAATTTCAGTTCATATTTCAATAATAAATTTTAATTATTTGTTTTCTTCTGCCTACACTGTTGGTGGCCTTGATTTTAACTTAATTTATGTTATTTAGGTTAGCATGAATCAATCAGTTTATGCATATGTGGGTAAAGTCATAAGGCATTCTTTATAAATCTGTGCGCGCCGAACGAGGAAACTATTGATAATTGATTTAATAAAGAAAATCCAGAATGTGATTTAAATGGTAATGAGATTTTGTTTTCTTTCCATGCACGCCGAACGAGGAAGAATAGCTTTAGGAATATTCAATTTGTTACATTGAGTTTGCAATTGAAATTCAATTCCTACGTAAGCCATAATGAAAAGTCAACTTAAAGTAATTTGTTATTGTTTCAAATTATTAGGAAGGAATTTGGTATGTGTAATACCCTTAATTTTAAAAGGATAGTTCTGGCATTTATTTAATTGTTTAATATAGTCCTGGTATTTATTTAATTGTTTAATATAGTCCTGGCATTTATTTAATTGTTTAATCTTTTATTTAATTGTTTAATTGCGTGTTATTCTATTAATTGGTTATTTTAATTGTGTATTTCTTCTGTGGTTATTTAAATTTGATTTTTGTTTTAATTAATTGATTAAATTGTTTTGTTTTCTGTTATTAAATTATTTTAAATTGAATTGTTAATGATATTATGTTTTTGTGCATTCACTGTTTTATTTTATTTTTGTAATGATAGTTTTAGGTTTTTACTTACGTATGTTTATAATGCCGACACTCTAGACGTAGGTTTAGGATATGGGCCGACTAAGGTTTCTATTAGGGCTTTGGCTCTAATTAAACAAGGATTAGGGTTTAGGGTTGTACGTCTATAAATATGGTGATTTCGTTGGTTAAGGGTTTTGGAGAAAAACAAGTCTTGGTTCTGTAAAGAGAGAAGTTGAGAGAACAGAGCATCGTAACGGTCTGTCAAGGAGAATAACAGAGAGGACCAAGGGAGGTTTTTGGTGGATTAGATCAGAATTAGAGGAGGCTAGAAGGTAGTCAGTGGTTGCCGGAAAGCTTAGAACAACTGCGACAAGGTTCTATTTATAAAACTGTACAGGCAAGTTCTTCTCTTTCTCATTCTCTTTGGCTCGTGTTCTGTGCACCTAGATAGTCTCTAGGGATTAACTAATTAGTAAATGAAACTTATGTGTTTAATGTATGCTTGTTGATGATTTGTTTGCATTGATTTCAAATCTGTTTACAGTTCGTGTATTGTTATTCCCAGTTCTGTTCATTAAAGCATATTAAAATCTGTTGAGATTTTAGTTACGATTCTTGCTTCTATCTTCTGTAAACAAACTCTGGGGATGTTAATGGGATGATATAAGACTCCTAAGATCAGTTTGTGAAGAGAAACAGAGAGGTTGGAATAGAATTATAGTTTCAGTTTTGTTCCTAACGCGGGTTAGTTCGGTAGCAAATTTAACCTCTGTAATTGATTTTAATTGTTGTTATC